TTATTAGTGGCTAGAATCCAGAGACGATCAGCTGTTTTTGATCGTCGCAAAGCGAAAATTGGTTCCCGAAGCAGTGAACCGATCATCACTAAGCGAAATCCCCCCATTTAGACCATCGTTTTGTGATTGCAGCTGCAATAGCAAAAACATAGTCGTAAGGCGGATTCGTCGTAATGCGGGGCAATCGTTAAGTGGGGCACGACTGCAATAAGTTTTCCACGGATACTCTGTAGACCAAAAATATCTGAAATTGGTACTCAAGAAATGTCTTCAACATATGTCCTGGATTCCCTAGAACAGAATGTCCTCTAATGTCTGCAGCAGAACCTTTAGCTGATTGCTCTGTAGATTGTTAACCAAGAGGGCTGTGTTATGTCCCTTTTGGGAAAGACATTAAGAGAGATTCTAATATTGGGGGACACAAATGCTAGGAACAAAGTCAGTGATGTTGTTGATGAGCTCCTTGTGGCAGCTGTATCCTGAAAAAGATCCTTGGCCAGTTTTCATGAGGGCAGGTAACCGTTATTATTAGTGGCTAGAATCCAGAGCTGGAGAAGTGTTTTATATAGTGTGAGGCTATTTCTAACACAGTCACACTGCTGATTGCATTTTCCTTAAAGTGCAGTCAGTTCTCACGTTCTGGTGAGAGGTTGTTTGATTTGGTGATTACGCTATGGGTCTCTTGGCAGCATGGCCACAAGGCTTCAACTGTGTAAATAAAATGCGGAAGAAAAAGTGTCATGTTATAAACGAAATTGTGCTTTAGCAAATAAATAAATAAAAAGCCGAGGCCACACTTGAACTGGCACAATGTGTCCCATTTTCTCTCACTTTCTTTGCATTTTTCAAAGTAAAAAAAACACAAACCCAACACATTTTGTTTGTTCTTATTTTATTGGTCTTAGAAACCTTGGAGCCATTTCTTCACTTCCTATGTTTCCACAAGCAAGTCCAGCAGTTTTCCACTGACAGCATTATTGCGGTCTGTAGCAGGAGTGGAAATTAGTTCCACAGTTTGGATCAAACTCTGGACACTAAAGAAAATAACAGTATACAGTATACAGTTTATGTTGCTTTTATGGCCAGTTTTACCTTCTTCGTGATGAGTTCCAATAGATGCAACAGAAAAGGAATTAGCATTTGTTTTTCATGTTACGCGGTTGGAAGATGCTTTCACAAACATGTTGGTTGGGTTTAGGAAGAAGCGTCATTATGCTGTTTGAGATTCAAAGGTGTAAGAACAAATTTTTTAACAAGACTTTAGGAACCTAGCAGTGTTCACAGTTCAGACCTCAGGAAACAAAACTCCATTAATAAGCCAAATGTAGGTAAAGGTAAAGATTCCCTTTGACATTTTAGTGCAGTCGTGTCCGACTCTAGGGGGCGGTGCTCATCCCGTTTTCAAGCTATAGAGCCAGTGTTTTTGTCCGAAAACAGTTTCTGTTGTCACGTGGCCAGCGTGACTAGGAAACGCCGTTTTACCTTCCCACCGAGGTGGTCCCTATTTATCTACTTGCATTTGCATGCTTTCGAACTGCTAGGTTGGCAGGAGCTGGGACAAGCAACGGGTGGTCACTCCTTCGCGTGGATTCGATCTTACGACTGCTGGTCTTCTGACCCTGCAGCACAGGCTTCTGCGGTTTAGCTTGCAATGTAAGAGAGTACTAAAGGGATGAGGGACAGCTTCTCAGTGTTTTGACAGTTTTGGGTTTTTTATTATGTTATAAAACATCCAAATGTTATACATTCAAACTGATATTTTCCATTCTTTTGAAAGCTTATTTTTTTTTGGTAGACATAGACATTATTCACTCAGAGTCAATTAGATCACTTCGCTAATGAGCCAGTGATAGGGAGTCTGATTTCTTTCATGTTTACTGTTTGGATTTCTATAGCTTTTTCACCTCCTTCCTAAAGGAGAAGTAATACAGCAGGTAAGGAATTATAGGTATGTCAGGGGACATGATAATATTTGGATAAAAAGCACATCAGAAAGGAAGAAGTAGAGCGGAAGCTTGCGTACATGGTGTGAATGCCTTAAAATATTTGTTTACAATCACATTTCTTAAGAGCACTTTTATACCAGATAATAAGGATACACAAGAGAACATCTGTAGTTGCTCCTTTTCTCTTCCTATACCTTATGCATCAATGTTCTTTAAAAACCAAGTACATGCAAAACAAATCCTTTTCTACAAATTATTTACCCCAACTGTTCTCTAAAAACGAAGAAACTGCATGACAAATCTATTTCTGCGAATTATTTACTCCACCATTTATCTAAATGAAGCAATTGTATAATAAAATCTGTTTCCCTGTGTTATTTATACCAACTTTCCTGCCTTGCATTATGACAAATTTATTTTGGCTTCACTGGAATCTGGATGTTGGCAAGGATTCAGTTCTTTAAACGAAACAAAACAGCTTTGAGGGGAACTGAGCCCTATATTACAGCTGTCCAATAGCAGAAGAGAATCTGTTTGCGAACTCTAAATGAACTGCAAAATAATAGTTTGCCAGCCACATTCAGCTGTTTCAAACTAATTTTCAAAAATCATACAACACAAAAGTATTATTTTGATCAATGAAAAAGCAATATTTCAGAAATATCAAATTGCTGTTTCAGAAAATACGAAAGAATGACAAATGCAATTCTTAGGTGGTTTTATAGGTGTATGGTAAAAGGTAAAGGTAAAGGTTCCCCTTGACAATTTTTGTCCAGTCGTGTTCGACTCTAGGGGGCGGTGC